TCTCAGTTCCTTATCTAAAATCCCTCGAAAACTTCTTCTTCCGTGTCCGAATTGAACAGCTGGGCTATTGCGGCATCCAAAACGCCTGGCTCCGTCTTATCAAAGTCATCATTAACCGAGTCAGTGTCGCTGCTGTTGTCTGGCAGTTCGGTGACAATTCCTGCCTTCCTAAAAGCTCGGACCACAGTTGTGACTGATATACCAGCCCAGGCATTTACTATCCACTTGCAGATATTAGCATATGTCGTCCGGCGCTGTCTCCCCGTCTTGGTGAACGTGTGTTCGCCTTCGGTCATCCACTGCTCCCACGCAGTTCGCAGTCGAGCTTTGAATGCTCTGTTGACGCCAACATCGAGCGGCTGGAGTTCTTTTGTTAATCCACCCGGAATGACGGCGAGCACTGAATTAGTGTGCTTCACTTGTTTTTTGACATGCTCGGTGATATGTGCGCGCATGGAGTCATAGATCAATAGGGACGGAGCTGTGTGAAAAAAACCACCCGGTCTCTTCACATAAATTTCTCTCAACCACTCACTCATCTTTTCTTCATCCATCCATCCCTTCGAGTTAGCTTTTATGACAATGCCAGCTGGAAAGTTTTCTTTCGGCAAGGTCTTCCTCTTGAAAATAACCATGGGTGGAAGTTTGTGGCCATTAGCCTGGCAGGCGAGAACTACAGTGAAGGACGTTTTCTCATTCCCTGTGGTGCGAATATTCACCGTACGTGCTCCTGTTTTATCCACAGTGCGGTTTACAGGGATATCGAAGGTGAGTGGAACCTCGTCCATATTGATGATATGCTCTGGCTGGATCTTTTTTTCAGTTATCTTGTTTCTGCAGTATGTGCGGAAAGTGGCCAACTTTTCCTGATAATCAGCTGGTAGTTGTTGTGACACAGTAGTGCGCGTACGGATGGAGAGATGACGTCGTTTCATAAAACGGAAGCACCAAGAAGGACCGCCTCTGAATTCACTGATGTTATGTTCGCGAGCTAGCGCTATTGCCTTCATACGAATTGTGACTGTACTAACACTTCTGCTTGCTGCTCTTTGTTCAGCAACCCACTGTTCAACTTTGTCCTCTAACTGTGGCCATCTCGCTTTGTTCCCGCGGAAACTCTGTGTTGTCTTCTTTACTTGGCGGAGCTCATCCTCATACTTCCTCCACTTCCTCACCATTGATTCATTGATATTAAATTCTCTCGCTGCTGCTCTATTGCCGTGTTCTTGTGCGTGGCTTATCGCCTTGAGTTTAAACTCAGCGTTGTACGCGTGTCTTTTGGTAGGAGCCATTTCAGGGTATTTACAAAAATATTAAAATGGAAATGAAACGCCAGTTTCCCGGTATCCCAGCATGCACTGCGCACTATTACGGGAGAAAATCGAGTCGCGGCTGCTTACCGTAACTGAGACCTGTATGCGTTTTAATACTGGGCCATATACAAGGCGCATTGTATTATTAGGCGCATGATCAGCTTTTGAAACGATTGAAGGCGTTTAGGTGCGCCTAATCGTGCGGAAAATACGGTATATTCGGTTCATTTAGCTAAATTGTGACCGCAGTGTGAGGATTAAAATGCAGTGACTTTCCGTGTCGTGGACCGTGAAGTTTGTCGCGGTTCCTTCCTTCCGTGTGTTGTGGAAAAGCGGTCTGTTCCCTCAGCCTTATGAACGTAAATACGATGTATTAGCGCCGTCTGTCTCCTCCCAGGCGGTGCAGTCGGTCAACATGAGCCACGACACCGCACACGCCCAGATGGACGTCAAGTTTAGGTCTTTGGCCTGCGTCGGCCTCAAGTGAGTCCCCAAGATTCATCTGCACACACGCACAATAAAAAATTAAGATTCAACACGCACACCCTCAAGTTACTTGGTTTTAACGTGCGCCTCCCTCCCCCCCTCCTCCTACCAGTGAGCAGGTGCTGCACCTGTGGCTGGAGGTGCTGTGCTCCAGCATGGCTGCTGTAGAAAAGTGGTATCATCCGTGGTCCTTCCTTCGCAGTCCTGGATGGGTTCAGATAAAGTGTGAGCTCAGGTAAGAAACGCGTCACTTCAAAACTATAGTCCGTCATGATTCTTCTGTTCGTTTGAGATCTTTGCTGTACCCCATTTTCCACACATAATCAGGTAGTTTAAAAATAGAATTGAATATCCAAAAACAAAGCTTTCTACTTGAACATGGACCCTTAACCGGACCAATAAAACAAGTCGTGACCGGTCTTCTGGTGTCTCCTCAGGGTGCTATCAAAGTTTGCCTTCAGCCTCTCCCAAGATTGTGAGCTGCCCGACAAGAAAGAGGTGAGCCGAGGACGTTCCCCAGCATCCTCCTGTAGAGCAGCAGTAAGGCGACAGTAAACCTGCTGTACGCTGCGTCAGACCTCCTCCGTTCTCAACGCAGACCTTATGGATGCGCTGGTTCAAGTTTGCCTCTTTATATGGAACCTCTGTGTAACGTGTATGAGACCGAAGAGGCTTTAATGTGGTTGCTTGTGTTTACACACTAACAAACAAATCTACTCTTATGTGTCTTAACTCCAACTCTTACGTACTTTTTTGTATTTGATCCTTTGAAACCTTGAGGCAAAATGGTAAAAGGTGTTTAGTCTGTCGTCGCATGGACTTGCTTCGGTACGGAATCCCTCCAGTTAATGAAGCGTTATCCTCTCTAAAGCCTGATTTATGCTTCTGCGTTTTCAGAGCGACGCAGACGCAAGCCCCCCTTTGCGTCGCTTTTCACACCTCCTTGCGTCCTTGCGTGTGTCGAGCCATTTTTCTAGGCTTGCGTCGAAAGCGACGAATGTTTACGAGAGAACAGATCAGATTTAAGAACTTTTGTCGGAAGAAATGCATAAATATGAGCGCTTGTACAAGCCGTCATTGACGGGTTGTAGAAGCGGGTTGGATTCACGGAGGGAGATCGCCGCAAACGCCGGTTTGCCGGTCGAGAGGAACAAAGTTGTGGAGGAAAATACGGGACAAATGTGAAAAAGCAGCAGTGGCGATGCACGGGGCAATAAAGTCTATGATAAATAAATAAACAAATAAATAGACGTGACTCTCTAGGTCGTCTTCAACAAAGCACGTTACTCCGCCTGTTGTTCTGGCGGTGAATTGCTCTGCAACACACGCAGAACCATGAATTGGAACGAGTGCGTCGACGCAGACGCAGAAGCATGCGCCGGCCTTAACTGTGAATCTCGAGTCGAGTCACTAACAAGAATCAAAAAGCCACCATGTGTTTTTATAGTTCTGATGTTGTCTTCAGGTTAAGAACTTTCCACGTTTCCCTTCCAGGAGAAGGAGCAGAGGCCTCTGAAAGAGGGCGTGCAGGACATGTTGGTGAAACATCATCTCTTCAGCTGGGACATTGATGGCTAGACGCTGCGGCTGAGTGTGTGTGTGTGTGTGTGTGTGTGTGTGTGTGTGTGTGTGTGTGTGTGTGTGTGTGTGTGTGTGTGTGTGTGTGTGTGGAGTTCTCACCTGTTTGTCACAGTCGGTTATAAATCAGACGCCACCGTCTGCTGCAGTGACTCCTCTCTGACTCCATCCGTCACGCCACCTCCCAGCGTCGGACCTGTTTGTGTGTGCATTAAGTTGCATACTCCGATTTTAATCCCAGCCCAGTGCATGAGGTTGCACTACGTGGTGAAAACGCTGCATACTAGCAGAACAGTCTAGTAGAGAAAATCCCAGCCAGAGACGCGGCGGCAGGTCCTGAATGCCACATCGCCCTGTCAATTCCCAGATGAGACCAAAACTAACATTCCTGAACATGGAGCTGTAAAGTTACAAATTATTTTTGAGAGGAATGCTAATTACCTCAATATCATCGATTCCACTAATATATTTCATTAAATACTAATGTTGCACATGCCAAGTAAAGCCTTTTTGAATTGTTATACGAGACTACGGGTGTGTGTGTTCTACCTGAGCAGTGGTGGTGAACACAAGAATATTGATGAAGCAGAAAAATACTTTCAGTGTTTCAACCTAGAGTGAATAAATGTTGCATATAGTTTATAGATTTCTGTATATAAGGTAAAAATATTTTGTGACTAAATGTGCCCATGCAGGTTAAAGCAATTCAAAATTGAACTTTTATTGTTCTTACTCAAACACTGATGTCCAAACGGAAATATAATTTGGACTTAAAGCTACACATGCATAAAAAAAAGACTAATTTCTTCAAGTTGTTGACCATTCTTGTAAATGGGAACTTGTGAAACATATCTGTGCATAACAAAATATACTTTTTTTTTTCTTTCTAGTCTTGAATACTTTGCTGATGACAAAAATGTGTTCTCGCTTGTCAGCTAATCACATCTCGCAGAAGTTCAGCTTGAAATCGTTCATCTTTAACTTCCAGAAAACACAACCAACATGATGGTAGCTATTGTAGCCTTCGTAAATCCAATGGTGATTATCAATGTACAATATTCTGCTGTGTGTGTGAGAAGAGACCGTAGTGGCCCACCCGTGACACATAGAAAGCAAATGTAGCTCATACGAGTTTCATTGCATTGAAAGAAAAATAATCCTGTTAAATGTGTCAACTTAGAAAACAATATATAACAAATAAAATGCGCAGCATCAACATTGGTAGTTATTGGAGATGAATGCAGCTGTGGGAAAGAATCACAGTTGAAAAGTTTATTTATGGTCAGTCTTTTATCGGCAGTGTTTTTAAACTGTCACGACACGTTACCAGTGACGGGCCACAGCGCATGTAGGTGAGTCACAAGTAGCACTGCGAGTCCTGCATGTCTTATAAGCACGAGTGACGAGACGATGTGCTGTATGTTTGTAACAGCGGGTTGTAAGCAGGCTGACGGATGGGGATGGGGGGGGTACGACACGACTGGATCTAGTGCAAGTGAGCGTAGCTTGAAAGAAATCTGAAGAGTGAACATTCTGCATGTATGCCAAATAAATAACTGACAATTATAAAAATGCAACAGCTTATATTTTCCATGTATCTAGTATTCAAGATCACTCGGTGCCTTCAGCTACATTCATTTATTATTTGCATACATTTTGTACAACGGAGCCTTTCCAATCACAGCACAACTAACATTGAATTTACATACGCAGTATAAATAGTACATTGTTTTCCACTGCTAGTACACGGGGAATATTGAATGGAGTCTCACGTATAGCTGCTCATGTTGGTACCGTTTCTGTTTAGCTTCTGTACATTTCATAGACAAATTAAATAAATCCTCCCCCTCAGTGAGGCTAAGCTCAAACCACACCGCTCTCCATCAGCCAAACCATTACAAATAGTGAAAGGCAGCTGACATTAAAATGCATTCGATGTGTATTTTGGTTTAGGATGTAATCCTTTGTGTTCCCTTTTTTTTTTTTTTAAATAAATAAGTTGAAATAAAACGTAGAAGCAGGTGTGAAAAGGGCGTGAGTGATGAGGCGCAGTGTTTGGCTGCAACACTTCTCCCCTTGAAGACACTTGGGTCTAGGATCCTCCTGTTCCTGAGGAGGGAGCCGCTGTGGAGTTGGTGCTGCTGTTCTGGCCTTTTCCTTTGTGCCTCTGGCCCCCCCGTCTCCTTCCACCTCCTCCGGACTTTGGCTGCGGGATTGAAAACGAAAACACTCAACGAGGACATTTCAACACCAAAAAAACCCATAACGTATTCGCTCCAAATGCACAGAGCTCCACTAGCTTCCGCTTTTCAGCTCCTTCACTCTTCTTGTTCCCTTGACTCGACTCATTTTACCTTGTTCTCTTTGTTGCCCTCTTTTATCTGAGGATCTTCATCTCCCTCCCCCTTAAGGAAGCCAGCCAGGCGAGCGAAGGAGGGGGAGGCGTGATGTGGCATGACGGTTTAAAACAAACAATATATGAAAAAAATAATATGGAAGAAGACAAAATCAAAGCAGGACGTAAACGAGTGGTGGATAAGATATTAGAATAAGGGAAGAGGATAAAAGGGAAGTTAACGGGTTAGAAAAGAGGCGAGTACACAGGTAATCATGAGAAACGCATTAAAACGAGTAAACATTGACCCGTGTCTCACCGGTTGGGCGGCGTTCGAGCCCGCTGACTGTGCCGCCGCGTCATCGCCGGCCGCCGCGGTGCCGTCCTCTCGCCGCGGCGGCGCCTTCTTCGTGGACTGCATTTTGATTTGCGGCGGTTTGGAATTGGATGGTAAGTTGTTGGTGGATTGCAACAGCTGAAAATGGAAAAGGCCGGTCAATATTTGAGTCTCAACAAGATGAAGAGAGAATCCGCTACTCGGGATTTGAAAAGACGTTCCTCATTCTGAAGGCCAATATGGGACAATTGACTGTCACAAGGAGAGAACCTACAAATACGTGGCCTACTTTAAATTCTTTACGTCAACATTTCTCTTTTTTTACGCAAACGTTGCTCTTAAACATGAAAACAGTTGGAAATTCAATTATTTTGTATTTTATATACCATGGTTATGGTAATCTGTGCAAATAGAAGGTCTTAGTTAAATGTAATGAACAATCATTTTTAATGGAGCCTCTCTATTCTCAGCTCCTACCCATCAGCACTTCAGATAACATCACCTGAATAATTAGGTCTCAGGGCACCGGCAAATCATTGTAATGGGTAAAATACATCTCTCTGGTCTACTACAGAGCCCCCCCCCCTCCCCTCCTTGTGTTCCTCACGGGGCTGTAAAAACTAGTCCCTGCTCTTCCAGAAAGCGGCGTTACCTTGGTGATGGTGCCCACGGCCTTGGTGCGTCCCTCCCTGAACACCAGCCTCTGGTCGCAGTGCAGGTACTCGGGGGTCTTGATGAAGCGGAAGTGGACTGAAGCCTTGTCGCCGGTACGTAAGCAGTCCCTGTTCATAGACAAGATGGTGGCCGTCTGCCTGATGCTGCCGCAGTGCACTGGAGAAAAAGAAAGGAGGAACAAACGACTGCATTTACGATCGGCGCCGACATCAGAGGGAATCACCTTTCGGGCGTTGCCGCTACCCACCCATGGCCTGGTATCTGGGGGATATCGTGGTCGGGTGATGCAGCACCAGGATCTCGGCCTCAAACTCCCAGGTGGCCTGCGGGCACAACCTCGGGGAAACCATCACCATGCCTTTTCTTATGGACGAGCGCTTGATCTGCACAAAGAGTCGTGCGATAGGACACAACCCAACCGCACCCCCCAAAAAAAACATTAATGTTGCACACAGTTTGAGCCGGTTAATCCATTCATGATTACAGAAGAAAGATGCCGCTTACCTTTTTCAGGGCGAAGGAGGCCGTCTGGCCGCCCCTAACCTCCTTCACGGGCATCCTCTTGCGGTGGATGGATTTGACCGCGATGGGGATGAAGCTGCCCAAGGGGTCCGGCCCCAGCAGCATCGTATCGTTCAGACGTATGAGTCCGCGCAGGGTGGTCCCCGACACTACGGTCCCCACTCCCTGAGACAGAAACGGAACACAGGCGGCGGTTCGTTGGAGGTTCGCACCTGTGGCGCGATCCACGGCGCTGAACGCGAGTGCATTTAGTGACGAGGGTCGCCGGGTATTACCGGGACGGAGTACGTGTCGTCTATCTGGAACTCAGCAGGCTGGTCGTCGCGGTACGACGTCCTGGAGGAGAGCAGGTTGAGGAACATCTTGAGCATGTCCATGTTCTCCCCGGACACATTGGAGATCTGGAAGATGGGACACATCCTGGGGGAGGGGAACACAGATCAACACGGAGGTTACAAAGGATGGTTTCGCTGCTCACCGTAAATCTACATGGGACACGCCGAGTACCTTTCGGAACTGAAGTTTGAAGCGGTGACGATGACGTCGTCCTTGTTCTGCACCAGGACGGGGATCTTCCTGCACCCGGGCGACTTCAGCAACCTCTGGAGCAGCTTCAACGTCTCTGGACAAACGATGGCACGTGGCCACGGAATAAGCCAGGCAGAAACCTCTTACAGTACTAAGTAAGAGAAAGATGAGATTGAGGCGTCTTTGTTTCGCTCCCCGGGACTGACCTTGCAGGATGTTGGCTGGACACATGTCGATCTTGGTCACCACTACGAACACGGGCACATTCAGAGCCAAGGCCAGGCCCAGGTGCTCTTTGGTCATCCCCACGATACCCGCATTGCTGCCCACCTGCAGAGGGGCAAAGAAAGGGGTTTGCATTTGCCTTTTAATACACGCCACCCAATGTGATGGTAATGGATACTTCCTACTGCTCTCATTCGAACACCCCCCCCTGTACCCCCCGTCTCTCCTTCTCACCATGAGCATGCAGAAGTCGGGCAGGTGTCCGGTCATCCCGAACACTGTGGTCTTGAGGTATTTCTCATGGCCAGCCAGGTCGATGAAGGTTATGACCTTGGAGGACTTCTCACAGATTTTGGTCCAGTCCAGGCTTCCTCCGTGACTGTCTGGTTTGTTGACCACCTGGGACCGGAGAGACGGGGGCGGAGTCAAGGCCAGTTCAGCAGTCGAACGCTACTCGCACACTCATGCAGCGAGCTTTGCTTCCCATCTCAATGAACTACGACCCGGCAGTGTCGAAAAAAGCTCCCGAGCAAGAGCGCCGTAGCTTATCATGCATTATGTGACCCGTACATTCACTTCTCTCGCCCCTCGACGCCGTACCTCTCCGCTCCCCCCCCCCCATCTCCTCCAAGGAGGAGCCCCCAGCGTCTCCTACTCTGACTCTTGGTCGTTTCATTAGCGGTGTGGACGCGTTTGAAAAAAGCCTCGATCACATGAGCAACTGGCTTCTCTGCTCTGCCGCCTCTCTGGCCCTCACCTGTCCCTCCTGGTCAAACCCCAGGATATCGTTGCCCACACTGCTGGTCCTGCCACTCTCCATCTCGTGTTTGTGTCTGAAGAGCTTTTGGCGGGCAAAGCCCCTGCCATTGTCCAGCTCTCCGTGCGTTAACACTCCCAGCAGAGTACTCTTACCAGCATCCACGTTACCCACGACTGCAACCCTGAGGGACAGAGGAGTATTCAAATAACACCAGAACTGTAGAAAAGCAAGGCAGTACTTTCTGACGCGTCTCACTGGAGAGGAGCCAAAAGCGTACTGTGCGTACTCTGTGAGCGTCACTGGGCGCATAACCACAAGATGTTTCTGTTCGAAACTCCGACCACTCACCTGACCTCCAGGAAGTCCAGCTCACCCACACGCCGGCGGATCAGATAGTCGCGCACCAAGCCGGCGGCCTCGGTGCGCTCCCGGAGGGTGATGAGGTCCGCGTCCACCTGCTCGCACATGGAGCGCACGGTGGCCGCCGAGGCCTCCATGTCCGTGTCGTTCAGACCCCAGTCGCCGCCATCTAGGAGAGACGACGTAAAAACGCGGCTCCGTCAGATGCTTCGACTGGATGAACAGGGAGGAGAGAGTCGGCGGTCCCTCACCTGAGCCCATGCCCACCATGTAGATGGTCTCTCCACAGCCCTCCTCCATTCTGTCTCGCAGCTGGCGCAGTAACGAGTCATACTGCTCCCCGTTCGGACTCACCAGCGCCAGCTATCGGGTTGGAAACAGAGACAAAACGGGCCAATAAACGTACGATCGCGGCAGAGCCTCTGTTCAGTAAGTCGCGAGCCGTGACCGCCAATAAGTGCTATGAGTGAGCTGGTGATCGCACCACATGTGGTTCCCTTCATGAGAGAGCGCTGCCACAATTAGACGTTTTTAAGTAAATTGATTGTGTTACTGGCGCTTATTATAGTTCACGTTTCATTGTGCAAGAAGAGGATCAAAGTACACAACAAAGCTCATTGACGCAAACCGACAACAAACTGCCCTCCTGTTGCAGCCCGGAGTGAATGGAAGTGTAATAACATTGCAACGTGCCATTTGAAACTCGCTCTCACTATAATAAAGGTTTCTATTTGGCAGGTCTCGGTACTTTTAATAGTTCTAAAGGTGTCTTCTGCCTGCTCCTATTTTCTTTTCGTATTGGTCATTTTGGCATCATTACAGCTGTTGGGCATCATCTCTTGCCTTTTATTTCATCAGCATGTGTGTGTGCATGTGTCTGTGTGTGTGTGTGTGCGTCCAGATGTCAATATTATGGTTTATTGAACCGTCGGACATGTATCTGTCTTCCTCTCCTGTCCTCAGACACCGACAGTGTCACCACATATATTATCTTTGGCTGGACAGCAGGTGGTAAAAAAAGAGAAAGAAAAACACAACAGCGGGCGCGTTCACGCTCCAGCTGGGGGCTAGCGTTAGCCACATCTAGCTAACCGGGACCCGGCGCGTCTCATTCCCGGGTGACCCTGCGAAGGGGGGGGGGGGGGGGGGGGGGTCTGGG